TTCAGATAAACAAAATGATTTTTTAGTGTAAATATGTCCCATTCATGTGCTAACACTGCATGGGACATATTATACTAAAAACTATTCATTGTTAGGGGCGCCTGGGTGGCTCAGTTGGTGATCTTCCGACTCTTGGTTTCCGCTCAGGTCATGATCTCAGGGTTGTGTCCAGCCCCACGTTGGGCCCCACGCTCAGTGTGGAGTCTGCTGGTCCCTCTTCCCCTCCGCCCCCCCCCCCCGCCCTCTCTCCCTCTCAAAATAAATAAATAAATAAATAAATAAATAAATAAATAAAATCTTTTTTAAAATTTGCTAAATTTGAATTTCAGATGCACAAAAACTTTTTAGTATCAATATGTTCCACACAACATCTGGAAATACTTACACTCAACGTTTGCATGGGATCTGCTTACACTAAACGAATTATTCCTCATTAAATCTAGATTTCAGATCAACCACAAATCATCTTTTGGCATAAGGATGCCCCATGGTCTCCTTGGGACATACTTACACTAAATGTTGTAGGGGTCATACTTACACTAAAAAAAAAAAAAACCACTTGGGGTTGATCTGAAATGAAAAAATGTAACCAGGTGTCCTGTATTTTAGGGCACATCCCAGCTCCTGAGGGGCCCACCTGAGGGAAGTCGTTGCTGTCCGTGGCCTGCAGGGTCTGGTTGGCTGTCTCCAGAAGCTCCTCTGAGCTCTCCAGGGCCCGAGTGCAGGCGGCCAGCTGGTTCTGGGAGTGGCATGTCACGGACGGAAGAGACACCTCACTGCATGGCATCAAACCCTTTGGGGCTTCCCACTGCCTTTGGGATTCAGAGACCCTTGCCTTTCTCCAACTCCGGGTGGGGGAGGGAGGGGGGAGGGAAATGGGGCATCCCTCCTGGTAGCAGTCCAGAATCACCTGGGGATCCCTTTCTTTAACTGGGAATCCCTCTTTTTAAAACTCACATGTCCGGGCCACACCTGAGCCCTGGGGCCCCCAATTCTCCTGGGATTGAGGATCTGATGTTAGGAAGTTGTCCAGGACGGTCTGAGGCAGCCCCAGTGCCTGGGTTTAGAGTCCAAGACCCCCTAGGAGCTGCGGGGTTGTTGGGGGGCAGCATTTAGCAAGAGGGGATGTTGCCAGATCTGGGGGACCCATGGGAAGGGCTGAGAAATTGGAGGTGCTGGGTGAGGACTGGAGAGAGGGAGCAGCCAGACATGGGGGTGGGGCTCTGGTGACAGAGAAGGGGGGCAGGAGGTGGGAGGAACAGAGATCAAGGAGAGCAGGTGGGGGCGGGGACTGATGGGTCAAGGCCAGGGAGGGGGCTGAGAAGAGACCAAGAAAAAGAGAAAGTGAGGCCAATACCCCTGGGGTGTCTGGTTCTGGACGCCGGAGACCCTTGGGGGTCTCTCCAAGACGCGGGGCGGGAGGACGAACAGGTTTGGTGGCAGACACGGAAGCCATATGGGCTCTGCTGAGTCTGAGGGGTGCCGTAGGGAATCGGGTCTGGGTGGGGTCTGGGGGGCCCCCTCCCTCCCCCACACACCTGCAGTTCGTAGGTGCGGCTGGCGCGGTCCTGCTTTATCTTCATGAGCATGCCCTCCTTCAGCTCCTCCAGGAGGGAAAAGAGGGACTGGAACTCGGCCTCCAGGTCCTCCTGCACCTTGGTGGAGTTTGCCTTGGAGAGACGTTGCGGGGTCAGCCGGCCCAGAGGTGGCCAAAGCCCATGCTCAGATGGGGAAACTGAGGTCTGGACACCAAAGCCGGGCCATGTGTTGGATGGGCAACAGCAGGAACAGGCTAACTCCTCTTGCTGCCCCTCCCGCCCCCCCACCCCCATCCCTTCCACCCACCTGGCCAAGAGGTCCCCACTTCCTTCCATCCCTCCCCCCGCAGGTGTCAGCCTCACCTCCACGTTCAGCAGCATCTGCTTGAGGGAGTAGATGAAGCTCTGAATCTCTTCATTCTTCACAGCCAGGGTAGTAATGATCTTCCGCAGGGCCTCCTGCCGCCACGGGAAGCACGCATACAGGCAGGGCTGGTAAGCCCCCCTGGGCCAGGCCAGGCTCCCCCACCAGGGGCTCCCCACCCTGCCTTCCTGGGATCCAGGAGATGCGGGAGCCACAGTGCCGGTGAGCTCAGGCACCCGCCACGAGGCAGGCCCTGGGCAAAGCTCTGGCCGCGTGTTCCCTCCCCTAGCAGATGGGCATTGCAAGCAAGCCCGTTTTTACAGCGCAGGAAACTGAGGCTCCAAAGGAGGCTCTGGGGAAGGGGCAGACTCTGGCCCTGAGCCAGGTCCGCCTCCGCACAAAGCCTTCAACCTCGTACCTATCCGAGGGCGGGGCATGGGGTGAGGGGCTCCGTGGGGAAAGAAAACCGCAGAGCAAAATCATGCCTGTAGAAAATGGGCTAACCTGGGGAAGGCGATACCTGGGGAACGGGGATTAGCAAGAAGAAAAGAGGAACCTGGAGAACAGGGTGCCTGAGAGCCCAGGTAACCGGGCAGGGGGAGAACGAGGTCTGGGTGAGGGGACGCCTGGAGAGAAGGAAGCCGCGTGGGAGGATCCTGCTGGGGCCTGGAGCCCTGACCCAGGCCTCGGAGGGGTCGCATTCCTGGGGGTGCAGGGTCGGTGGGACCACCAGTGCTGAGCTAGAGGGGTGTCCACCCGGGAGGGGCGGGGCAGAGCCCGGACACCTGGTCCGCAGTCCGGATGGAAGGCGTGGGGGATGGGTCAAGGCTGGGGCCGGGATTCTGGGCGCCGGTGCCGGGCATGGAAGGGATCCCGTCTGGATCCCGGCCAAGATCATCTTGGAGAGGTCGGGGTGACGGCTGGGGGGGAGCTGCGTCCCGAATTAGAGGGCTAGATCCGGGAGGGGTTGGGGCGGGGGTGGGGCCTCCGCCGCAAAGCAGCTGCGGGGGTGGGGGGGGGGCGCTGCGGCATCACCTGGTCCCCTCCCCCTTGTCCACCCCCACCGGGGGCCCCGCCCCGCCCCGCCCCGCCCAGGTCCTACCCTCTGGTCCTCCATGGCTTCAGCCCAGGTCGTCCCCGGCCCGGCCCGCGGGCCCCTCTCGCTCTTCTAGCCCTCAAGCTGCCTTTGCCGCGACCACGAGCCAATGGCCCGCCGAGCCCTGCCCGCCGCCGCCGCCGCCGCCGCCGCGCCCCCCGTCAGCGCTCCATCACTGGCCTCAGTGCGCACGCGCGACCCCCGCGGCAGGCTGGGAAACGTAGTCCGGCGCTGGGGTCCCTGAGAGCCGGGACCCCCAGAGCCTGGGGCCTGCCAGGCGGCTTTGGTAGTGATGACTGAGCTGCGGAGAGCTGGGAGCTGGGAAGCAGGTTGCCTGCGTTCGACAGCCGGCCCTGCTGTGTGACCTCAAGCCCATCCCCAGTCCTCCTGATGCCCAAGCCTGCCCACTCTTGCACCCGTGTCATTTCGTGCCATCTCCTCTAACTGGAATTCCATACACCCTCCCCACCGCCTCACCCACCCGACCCCGCCATGAGATCTGGCCCCTAAGCGCTCACACTCCTTGCATTCTCTCCTAGCATTTACATTTTGCCGAAGCAGATGTTCAGCCTCCAATGACTTCTTTCTCTCCCCAAGGCACAACTGAACTCCTGCACATCCCACAAAGCCCCAGGCTCTCATATCTCCTCCAGAAGTTTCTCTGTCTGACCGGAAGCCACAGGTCTCTGAATGTCTGTGTCTGGCTTGGTCTTCCCTGTCAGCCTGGGGCCAGATCTATCCAGGATCTCCAGCATTGTCTCTCTGCAAAAGGTGGGGGAAGGATGGAGTTTGAGAGGAAAGTCAGCCAGAGGGGAGGAGGTGGCCTGGGCAGGGGAGGCTGGGAAGCTGTGTGCGTCCGCTGGGGCTGTGTGGGCAGAGTGTCACGGCAGGCAGAGGTCATCCTGTGGTTGATAGGAACAACACTGTCCCAGAGCACATGGGCCCTCTTCTTTTTGGGTGAGAAAAGAGGTCATCACGTGATTGCGGTGACACACTGAGGCCTGAAGTCACCTCCTCCCAGCCACTGGGTGACTGATGCAGGGTTGGCAGAAATTCCAGGGCCTATGAACCCCCCTCAACTGGGCCCCCAAACTTCTCTGCAGTCTGTGGGGACAGGGGAAGCCCCCATACCTGTTGTGGGACCTGAAGCCATCAGTGCAAATCTACTCTGAACCTTAAAGGAGGTTGCTTTGGGGGCCAAATACCGGAAGCCAGGATTCTGATCTTCAGTCCAAGCTCAGGCCTCCTCTCCCAGCCCCCTGTCCCCGCACCTGCATTCCCTAAACTCCCAATGTGCATCCCATCCCCAGCTCAGGTGTGTTTATTTTTTATTTTTATTTTTTAAAAGATTTTACTTATTGGGGCGCCTGGGTGGCTCAGCAGGTAAGCGTCTGCCTTCGGCTCAGGTCATGATCCCAGGTGCTGGGATCGAGCCCCGCTTGGGCCTCTTTGCTCAGCAGGGAGCCTGCTTCCCCCTCTCTCTCTGCCTGCCTCTCTGCCTACTTGTGATCTCTCTGTGTCAAATAAAGAAATAACTAATCTTTTTTTAAAAAGATTTTATTTATTTCTTTATTTGACAGAGAGAGAGAGAGAGCACAAGCAGAGGGAGCAGCAGGCAGAGGGAGAGGGAGAAGCAGACTCCGTGCTGAGCAGGGAGCCTGATGCGGGGCTCGATCCCAGCACCTGGGATCATGGCCTGAGGGGAAGGCAGCCGCTTACCTGCTGAGCCACCCAGGGGCCCTCAGGTGTGTTTGAATAGCATCTCCCGGAAAGATTTGCTCTCACTGGAATGCATTATCCCATTTACGTACACATACTGCCTTTCAGATTAAAAAAAAGCAAAAATGAAAAATCTTTAGGGAAACCCAGGCACCTGAGGAGAGGAAGTGGGGCTCTAAGCAGGTTTAATTACTAGACCTCTGGCCTGGGTGTCACATCTGCATCCGTGACGGGGGTGGAGCTTGTGGCAGGAAGTCTGTCACTTAGGATGGTGGGGGTTGGGGAGATGGGGTGAGGGTGGGACGCTAGCCAGGAGAGGGGTGCCTGGTGGGCCAGGAATGGAGTCCCTGGGCACAGCGCTTGTCCTCCTGGTGCAGTTCTGGGGTGAGTACTTGCCCCCCACCACCGTCCTCCCTCCTGTTGCCCATCATCTCAGCAGCCTGCCCCCTGGTTTTGAGCCCCTCGAAACGAAACTCTGTGCTTTGCTAGACAGGGACTGCTTCTCTGTGATACTCAGAAGCTTGCGAGGGCTGAAGGTTGTAGCAGGATACTCGGAGTGGGTCCGTAGAGTAGAACTCACACCAGCACCTACACACCAGGCTTGCGTGAGCTGGTGCCGCTGGCGTCTTTCTTCTCCCTCCACGGCATTCCCTTTCTCACCCTTGTGCGGCCTGTTCGCTTTTCTTTCTTGCTTGCTTCCTTCCTTCCTTCCTTTTTTTTTTTTTAATATTTTATTTATTTATTTATTTGACAGAGAGCAAGAGCGGAGAGGCAAGCAGAGGGAGAGGGAGAAGCAGGCTTCCTGCTGAGCAGGGAGCCCGATGCGAGGCTCGATCCCAGGACCTTAGGATCATGGCCTGAGCTGAAGGCAGAGGCTTAAGTGACTGAGCCACCCAGGCGCCCTCTCTTCCTTCCTTCTCTCATTCTCTCTCTGTCTCTGTCTCTCTCTTTCCTTTTTTTCTTCTGACACACCAAGTTCGATCCCACCTCTGGGACCTCGCACCTGCTGTTCCCTCGGCCTGGATCTCACCTCTCCAGCATCAGGAGCGATCACATCTCAGATGCCAGCATCTTGAGCCAAACGCACCCCTTCTGGGGGCTCGGACAGACACCTCAGACATCTCGGGGGGCCCAGGGCAAACTTTTCTTCTACTCCAGCCCTGGTCTTCTGTCAGGGTCCTCCATATTGGCCCAAAGCCACCGCCATTCACATGGTCCCTGAGGCTGAAACCTTGGGAATCTGCTACTGTCCCTCTTTCCCTCTTGCAATCCATTCCTCTGCGGATTGCTTTTTTCCAGGGTTCAGTCTGTGCCTATGCTCCTGGCCCTCATCCCCCAGCCACCCTGACCCCCACCCACACCCCACAGTCTGTTCTTACCATAGCAGTCAGGGTGATCTTTTTAAAACTTAAATCGGGGGCCGGCTGGCTGGCTCAGTTGGTTGAATGTCCGACTCCTGATCTCAGCTCTGGTCATGATCTCAGGGTCATGGGATCCTGACATGGGGATTTGAGTTCAGTGTGTGTGTGTGCGGGGGTGTCTGCTCGAAATTCCCTCTCCCCCTGCCCTTCCTCCTGCTTGCGTGCTCTCTCTCTCTCTCAAATAAATAAAACATCGGGCTCCCTGCTCAGCGGGGAGTCTGCTTCTCCCTCTGCCTCTACTGCTCCCTCTGCTTGTGTTCTTTCACGCTCTCTGTCAAATAAATAGACAAAATCTTTAAAAAGAAGAAGAAGGAGAAGGAGAGGACTTTGAGGCTCAGATCATGTAGCGTCAGCCCTGTGGGCTGGGCTCAGGAGGGGAGTGAGTCACACACACACACACACACACACAGGACAGCCTTACTCTCTTGTATCCCCTCATCCTGCAAGGAGCCACAGGCCTGAGAGTGCAGCAGGAGCCCAAGTGGCTGCGGGCGACTTCGGGCAGCCGGGTGACCTTGGCCTGCCAAGTGATACAGTCCCAAGTCTGGGAGCGGCTCCGTGTTGAGTGGACCAAGGACGGCGTGTCCCTGTGTGAGCCGCACATCACCAACGGCAGCCTCAGCCTGGAGGCCTGTGGGCCCCGGGGACAACTTTCCTGGAAGCCACCTGGCAATCTCACCCTGCGGCTGGACCACGTGAGCCTCAACGACAGTGGGGACTATGTGTGTTCTGTCACCGAGGAGATTCCTAACCTGAACATGAAGCAGGGCAATGGCACGCAGCTCCTGGTGGTGAAAGGTATGGGGGCCCATGGAGGGAAGAAGGGATCTTAAGGTTCTAGAATCTCAAAGTCCTGGGAACATAAACTCTAAATTCTTCCAACAGGATTCTTAGAAACAGAGATCCTGCAAAGTCAAGAACATCCAGTTCTAGACTCGCAGAACCAAAGACATGCTGAAACTTATAATTCGAGACCAGGACTCAGCAAACATTCTGGAAAGGGCCACAGAGTACATACTTCCTGCTCTGTGTTCTATGTTTGACTCCACTCTGCCGTTACAGTGTGAAAGCCGCCCTAGACCTGACGGGCGCGAATGGGTGGGGCTAGGTTCCAATAATACTTTATTTAAAAAAAAACAATCAGTGGGCCTCATTGGGTCCACAGGCTGTAGTTTGCTGAGCCTTCTTCCCGAACTCCCCTTGCACCACCACCTTGCTCAAGAAACAAGATTTCCTGCCTCCCACATCCCTTTCCCCCAACCAAGCCCACACCCATTATCCTGTCTTTTAGCCGCATAGACGTACTTCGCTGGCTTTGTGTGCTACTTAAGGGAAATCACAGAGTGCATTCTTTTTTGTGTCTGGCTTCCTTCATTCAACACTGACTTCCCCCCACTCAGCCAGAAGGTCCGTCCATCCCGGTCATGCAGCAGCGGAATGTTCTTTCTCTTTGCTGTAGATCCACCGCTGTCCGTCCTCCAATCCAATTTCCCGTGATGGGCATTTGCACAGCTCCCAGTTGTTGGCAATCACGAATAAGGGCACTGTGAGCAGTTTTCAGCTGGTCGTTGGCTAGCCTATGTACACATTTCTGTTGTGCCTCAGACTATTTGAGAATCTCGAACCATAAGACAGAATCATGCAGATTTTGAATCCTAGCGGTGTAAAATTCTAGGCTCTTAAAACTACAGCATTCTTAATGGGGAATCTTGCTCCTCAGGAAGCAAGAATTGGTTCTCGGGGAGCAATGAAAATTTTGCTTTTTTCTGTATAAGGTATGGATGTATGGACAGTACAAAAAGAGAGTCACACTATGTCTGTGGTACTAAAATGTCACGGGGAAACAAAGTACGATTTTAAAAGTCTCTTTGGGGGAGGTGGTAATGAAAAAAGGTTGAGAAACACTGACGTAAAGGAATAGAAGATTCTAGAGTCTTGGAATTGCAGAATCTTGAATATTTTCAGTAGGCTTTTAGAATGTTTCAGTTTCAGAGTGCGTAAGGACAGATAGTTCTGAGGTTCCTCAACGCATGAGACAGGACAGAGTGCCTCCCCAGTTCCTGGCCCAAAGAGGTGACCATTGCTCTCTGGTTGGCAGTACCCTCCCACCGCCTGCCTCTAGGGCGGTGCGCCATGGCCGTCTTGCCTGCCCCCACCTTCCAGTAATGAGAGGAGCAGTTAGCAGTTAGCAGAATCTGGTAGTGGAGGCACCAGGCTGTGCATTGTGGACATCTGCAGGGGTGTGGGCAGGCGCGTGTCCAGCTCCACGCAGCTGGCCCCCCCCCCCACCAACAGCTGCTTGGTAGCCCCCAGGGACCAATGCCAACTTTATTTTCTTTTTAAGATTTTATTTATTTCTTCATGAGTGACAGAGAGAGAGGCAGAAGCAGAGCGAGAAGCAGGCTCCCTGCCCAACGCAGGGGCTCGATCCCAGGACCCCAGGATCACAATCTGAGCTGAAGGCAGACACTTAACCCACAGACTGAGCCACCCAGCGCCCCCCCCCCACAACACCAACTTTAAAACATTCACGATGAAGAGGTCGGGACACTGGGCCTCATCTTAGTCACACCAGGAACCTTTGGCTGGAGTTTTTGTCAACTACACAGACCTGGAAACATGTCCCCCATGTCCTCACACAGCTGTTCACTTGCTGTGTGACCTTGGGCAAGTAACTTGGCCCCTCTGTGCCTGTTTCCTTAGCTATGAGTTAGGTGGATTTGAAGTAATTGTATCGAAAGCGTTTATTATGGGGTCTGGAACATGATAAGTCCTCAGTAAACCTAAGTGACTATTTATGTCTGTTATCCTGGTTATTCAGCAAGACTCAAAAGTTCAGGACTGTATAAGCTTTTTCCTTCTATCTTTTCTTTTCTTTTCCTTTCTTTCTTTTTCCTAAAGCAGAAAAGGAAAGGGGAGCTGAGGTGAGCGACACCTCTGTTCAAAGCAGGACGGTGTTGCTGCCTGGGTGCGGGACTCCAGTGACTCAGACTGAGACTCGGTTTCCTTGTACGAAAAATGGGCTTGACAGCAGAGTTGAGCTAAAACAAAACAACAACAACAACAACAAAAACCCCGGAGCCCTAAAGATGGTGGATCCCATGACCAGTATCGGGTATCTCCCGGTGGGAAGGATGGGGCTCCTGATGTCAGTGATGGGGTTTATGGGGACGACAGGGCTTGTGATGGGAATGGTGGAACCTCTTAAGGGAGTTATGGGGTTCGTGGCAAGGATGGTGGAGCTCAGGATGAAAAACATCCGCTCGGCGATTGTTTCACAAGGACCAAGCAAGGCCGAAATGGGCCGCCTCGCTCATAGAAGAGGAAACAGGTCCAGAGGGACACCTGCTCGGACTCAGGCAACATGGCAGGGGCAGAATCCTGACTCCTTGTGGGGTGGGGGGCCCTGACCCTGAAGGGTGGAGATTGGACTCGAAGTTGCCCCCGAGACACAGGTTTCTTCCCTGCAGATGGCGGGTCCCCGAACCAGACCACCGACGCAGGTGAGCCCCAGCCCCGCCGCCCGCCCCGCCGCCCGCGCCCCGCCCCCCGTCAGACCGTCCCGAACTCCCCCTCCCCAGGACTCCCGCTGGCGCCGCTGGTGGCAGGGGGCGTGGCCGTGGCCGCCATCGCGCTGAGCGCCTGGGTGTGGGGCCGCTGTCGCAGCAGGCGCGAGGACTCAGGTGAGCGCTCGGGGGTCTGGGCGGGCGGCAGACGCGTTCCGCCGCCGCCCTGCCCCCGCGTGGCGGAGGCGGGAACTGCAGCGGCTCGACCGGGAGGGAGGGCGGGTGGGGCTGCGCGGGGCGGGCGAGAGGAGGGGAATAAAAGGAGAAACGTTCCTGTTTGGCAGAAGCAGAGGTAGGCTGGGGAAAGCCAGGCTGTCTCATGGGATTTTCGCCTCAGCGTGTGTCCTCCCTCCCTCCCACCCTTGCAGCGCATCCTCTCTACGGGAACGTCCTCTACCAGCCCCGGGGGGCCCCAAAGAAAACTAAGGCGTGGCGTGCGGAGGGGAAGGTGCTGGACATCCCCAGGGAGGACCAGAAGAGTCAGAGCTTCTATTCGATCTCTTTCCCCCAGCCTCCTAGCCCCCAGCAGCGCCTGGCCCAGAAGACTTGCCCCAGCCCCAGGTCGAATCACCCTATATCTACTGCCCGCGTCTCCCCTGACCCACGCCCCTCGGGGCAGCAGAGGCCAGGAGGGCTCCTTGAAGTGGGAAGACGACTCGAAACCCCAGAAAAGACCCCCTCCCACCAACGGCCATGTGAAAATGTGACTGATTTCCCAAAGAGTCAGGGAGTCCAACAGCCCAGCCCAAGACCCCGTCCTCATTACTGTAACGCTGGTCTCCTCCCTCACCCCCAAAGCAATCAATAAAGGCTTATAAAGGAAAGCCAGATTTTGTGATGTTGGGGGTGTTAAAGATGTCTGAGGGGTCGTCTGGGGCTTCCTGAGACCCAGGATGGCTGGGGGGGGGGTCCACTGTGGCGAGGGGGCTCTGTGATGACTGGCCAGCTCCCCCCTCTTATCCTTGGAGTGTCATGTCCAATTAGCAGAGAAGCGATGTCCCCAACTTCCACACAGCGCCTTGAGCTGGAAGCACCCCCCACCCCCCGGTCAGTGTGGAGATGAAGGGTGACGGGAGACATTGGGGCTCCCTGGAATTTATCACACACCCCGCCCCCAGTCTCCTGCCCGACTGTCACCTTGATGTGACACCAGCTGGGATCAGCTCCCCTCCCCCACTTCTGCTGTTTCCATGGGGACAGATGTCCTTTCCGCAGCAGCATCAGGCCACGGCTGTCTGCCTGGGTGTGAGGGAGGGGCCGGGTGGGGGCAGGGCTGGCCTGAGAGCCTCCCCCCTCGGTTTCTCCATCTTTGTATCTGTCTGTATCAGCTGTCCGGGTTTTCCTCTGACCTCATACGCTCTCTCCCTGCCTACCCCGGGCTCTATTACTTGTGATCCCCCACCCCGGCCCCCATGAGTAATTCAGGCTTCACTCCCAAGTCATCTCCCAAGTGGAGCTGGGGATGACCTTCCCTTCTAAGGGTCTAAGGGTCACTCACCCTCTCCTCTCCCTGGGGCTGGGATCCCCGCCTCCCAGAAAGGACACTTGAAACACACAATAACTTATTTATTTTCCAGGCCAGAGAAGTGCTTGGCGACACAATTCTGGACCTTAGCACCTAAGAGGAGGGCCAAGAAGGCAGCACTGAGGAAGACCCAGGGCCTGGAGGGATGGCGAGTCTCTGGAAAAACCTCTAGTGCTCGCAGCCAGTGATTCTGGGCCCGCCGGGTGCGGGCAGGGGCTGAAGGTGCTGGGGTCAGGGGTTCTGCGTGACCACTGGGTACAGCAGGGCAAGGTGCTCGGCGCCCTGTACAGGCAGCGGCCGGGAGCTGTAATGCAGGACCAGCTCTGGCACGCTGGCGAAGGGGCCGCTGTGCTGACCCAGCACGAACTGGTTCTCTCGGGTCCGCGCGAACTTCAGGTGCAGGAAGCTCTGGCTGCTCCTGGGGAACAGGCATCACAGAGCGCCTTGATCACGCCCAACCTGCTCACGGTCTCCGACCCTAGAGACCCACCGCCCCTCGTGATCCCCAGAAGCTGGCAGCTGGCATTCCCAAATATTTCTGCTCAATGGCCACTTGGGGCCCAAGCTCTGGGCTTGTTCCCCATTGGCAGGGATGCCTTGCCTGCCTATGTGCTCTAAAGGCCGCTGGAGGTCCTACCTGGTGGCGGCTCCTCCCCTGAGGTCAGGCTACACTTTCCCCCCAAACCTTCTGAGCCCTTGCGCTACCCTTCCTGGGCTTCCCACGAGTTAACCCCCAGTCCGGAGCCCCTTTCCTTTCTTGTATCTCTGATGAGTGGAATGACTTTGAACCTGGGAATGATCTTATCATGACTAAAATGAGTGAAACACATCCTGTTGCTGGGGCACTAGTCTCAGTTCCGTGTGCCTGTGCACACATGAGTGTGTGTTTCATTTCCTAGTGGCAGTATTACCATGAAGCAGGCGCTATTTATATCTTCATTTCGTAGATGAGAAAAGCAAGGCCCAGAAAGGCTGAGTCATTTAGCTAAGGCAACACAGCTGTAAAGTGGCAGAGGCAGGATTTAAAGCGATTCTCCAAGCCCTCTTCAATCTTGCCCTTTCAGGAATCTCACACTCAGATGCCTAGTCGAGTTCTGGGGCTTTTTATAATCACACACACTTGGAATCTTAGGCAGAGAAGCTTGTAGAATCAGGGTCTCAAAGTCAAATGCCTGCAGGGCCACTAGGAGATTCTGGCCCCGAGAGACACAGTGGGTATGCTTCAACTTTTGGGCTGGTGGAGTTTAAAGGAAATATCTAGTTTCCCACCTCCCTCACATCCTAGATCTACTGGATGGCTTGCACTCCACCTTCTTGCATACCCCCAGTGACAGGGTGCTCACTCTCAGTTGGAAACAGGCTTGTGGCCTCCCTAGAAGCCCTGCCCACTGGCTGCTGGCGCCACCCTCTGCTCCCACCAAAAAACCCAAAAGCCAAAGCCGGAAAGCCAGAGGCAGGGAGTCCTGTGAGCCTCGGTCCCTTCAGGGGGCTGGGGGCTCACCTGAGGGACAGGGAGCAGTCTTGGGGACTGGTCTCGCTGAGCCGCACGAGGTAGCTGCCTGCCTTGCAGAGAGACAGGAGATTCTCAGCGTCTGCCCGGCTCAGTGGGCCGTGAAACCACCTAGGGGGCGGGGGCAGATGTCTCATAAAGGGCGATCCCCCTGCAAACACACCCCTGGGGGCTGGTGCAGGCACAGCCCTTTCCAGGACTTGTGAGCTCCAGGCAAATGAGTGAGAACAATTCCCCTGGGCTTCTCTAGCAGAGCCTGGTTTTCAGGCGGACTCGGTTTTCCCTGCTGGGCAGCTGAGCCCGGGTCCACATGGAGCTGCTCCCTCTGGTTCAAAAGATCCACCTGACCTGGATCTTTACAGCCTCCCTGGGCTGGGTCCCCAGAGTCCTGTTTCCTCTTCCTTAGTCCTTCAAGTTGAACCACTTGCTGCATCTGGCCTTCTGGAGATTTCCCGCACCCCGTATCCCCACCCACCTGCCCACGTGTACCATCGTTCACTTAATATTGAACTGAATGTGCTCAGAGAGAGGTTAGCGGTTGTAGCAAGGGCTCAAGACAGAGGAGCGTCACACAGACTTCGTGGGTTTTGTATTGAAAGAAAATGGAACAGCGAAGAAACGCCTCCCCCTGTACCTCCGTGTTCATCAGTCAGTTCTGTCTGGCCCACCTAAGGGGTTTTGGGAATAACTGTGACGAACACGCCGTGGCGTCTTTGGAACTGGAGGGCTTTAAAGGAAATGCCTAGTTCCCCACCTCACTGGGCTGGGCTCAGCGGGCTTTTGGGGAGCTCCCGGAGGAGCTGCTGGGCTGGAGAGACACGGAGAAGGCCCAGCCCCTCCCAGCTAGTGCACTGCACTCCAGCCCAAAGTTGGGACCCCCCAAAACCCTGCTCCTCTTAGTTCCATCCCAAGATCTCCTGGGGGTGAGGGTGATTTCCATCTCTTTACCCTCAGGCTCAGGAGCTCTGTTTGAGCTGCGTATCATCTTGGGGGTTTGAGCCCTAAGTTCAGAGAGGTTAAGGGACTTGCCCAAAGCTACCCAGCCAAGAGATGCAGAGATCTGAACCCAGACTCCGATGCCAGAGGAATGAGATGCCACGTGATTCTGCTTTGCACCTAAGCTAGATGTCTGACGCACGGCAGGCTCCGGCACCCAGTGAGGGTTACTCGAAGACAGGGATGAGGGGAATGAATGAGTCGTACTTCCCCCGGCCCCCCAGTCCGAGGACTGGAGTCTGCAGCTGGTATGGGATGGGGAGGGATTCAGCCCGGCTCCTCCAACGTCAGCTTCCCCACTCACGGCTGTTTCTCCAGGGGTAGGGCCGGGTCCACGCGCTCTGCGGGCTGGGGGCTCCTGGATGGGGGTCTCCGAAGGTCTTTGGCTGAACCTGCGGTCCTTTCCCACTCGGGACTGTCAAACTGCACTGGAGGGTTAGAGAGGAAAGGGTTAAGTCCAACCCACCTGGGAGGGGCGGGACCGGGGTAAGCCAATGCACTCAGCGGGAGGGCGGTGCCAACTTGGGCAACCTATCAGAATCCAAGGTAGGAGGGGCTGGGTTTAAGGACTGGGCAGGATTGGCCCAGGAGCAGCCAATCAGCCTTCAGAAGAAAGGGGTGTGGTCACTTCTAAGCGTGGTGGCTGGCGAGGGCGGGGCAGATCCACGAGGTACAAACCCTCGGAGGGGGCGAGGGATGCGTTAGGGTTGGTCATTCTGCAGATTCTGCACATTCTGGCCAAGTCCTAGAGCTAGACACCCCCCACCCAAGGTAGGCCAGGTAGGGTGAGGCACTGAGCCCCAGTCTCCCTCCCAGTTATACCTGGGTTCGCACAAGTTATTTCATTTCTTAAAGCTGACCATATCGTTACCCTTTGACAAAAGAGGAAACCGAGGCCACAGACTTGTCCCGTGCTTCCCCAACTCGGGACTTGACCCCAAGCCCGCCTAGTGATAGTTACTAAGAAATGCTACCCTGTTCCCCAGCAGCGCCCGTGGGAACACTTGCTGGCACCCAGCATGTTCTGTAGCTGCTACGGTGATCCCCATTTGATGGGGGGAGGGGACCGATACTGAAAGATAAAGCACTTTGCCCAAGCAAGTGACACAAATCCAGGCCTCCCCTGACCCCAAAGCCTATCCCTGCACTACAATGAGCCCCACGGGTGCTTTGAAGGAGTTTCTGTTCTCGAGGAAGGTACAAGTTCTCCTAGGAAGAGGGCTGTGCCATTATCAGCCATTCACACTTTAGTGGGAATGAATAAACTGCCCCGGTGGCAGGTGATTGGGGGTCTATTTTGTAAGTTGACTCAGAGGATAGACCAGAGCAGGAAATGGACGTGGATATCCGGGGCCTGGGGAGGGTCAAGGCCTGGGTTGGAGGGGTACCTGCAAACGCCTTGGAGATGTGATCTTTCTTCCACTCCCAGGGCTGGTCATACTCATCCGCTGGCCGCTCGTCTTCCTGAGGCAGCCGGCTCTGGCGAGGTTTACTTCCAGAAAGGGCTCCATCTCCTGGCTCTTGGTCTTGCTCCTCATAGG